ACTTTAATAAATTGTTCATGTTGCACAAACACGCCCTGCAACACGGTCACCGGCAAGCATGTGAGGAGGACGTGTGTTGTTGCTCTGGTGTTACTTCTATTGGGGAACTTGCCATTATTAATTATTATTATTATTAACATGAGAGTTTTGGTTTCGTGTTCGTAACTTTGAGCAAAATATATGACAATGAGTTACCATTAAGGGAGTACAAGCTTAATTTATCTTATTGAAATTATTAATATGAAGGAAAAACAAATAACATAGAAAAACATACATTGAATATCTATATAAAAAAAAAAGTATTGACTACTTTTCAAAAATTTTGGATTAATACAAAAAAGGGATATTAAAAAAAAATATTATTACTTTCATGGTAAACAAGTCTATGGGAAGGTTTGTTTACAGGTCATCTTGTGTTTACATAACCACAAGACTATAAACAACAAAACACATCAGGTACATTGACCAAATTTTGTTTCACTAAAGAACAAAGGAAATAGAAATACAAAATAAGTCTGACAAGCATAACCGAACTTAAAAAAAAAAATCAATTCAAATCAAATATTCTCAAATAACAATGATCTTCCTTTGCAATTTTTTCTAAAGCTTGTGGAATTTTTTATAATAATTTTCAAGTATTGTTTCATGGTTTACACATAGATGGCCTCTTCAACAAGCTCATCTTTGACTACCTGAGGGCAACGTTACCTAACAACGAGAACAATGATTGTCAGCGTTAGGAGAATATATTGAAAGGATAAATTGAACACACAGACAGAGAGAAAAAGAATAAAACGCCAGAAGAGAAAAAAAAATGTATGGGAGCCATTTCAAACACGATATAGACGAGTATTTTAAGTTCAATCAATAAAGGTTAATAATAATTGGGAGGGATTAACTTTAATATTGAAGGTAGTAACGGTGGCAGTGACCATTGAATAATAATAATAATAATACTAACAATTATAAGGCGTGAATGCAACGGCTCCTCTCTCTCGTAAACACCTTTTGAAGCCAACTAAAAGAACTGGTTACTAACAATTATACTATGGTAGGAGCTCCTCGTCAAGCCCTCAGTCTGGTCACCACAACAACACCACCACCAAGCCCTCACTCACCACACTTGAAACTCGTCTTTTTTTTTTCTTGTCATGACCGTTTAGTAAAATTCCACCGTTTCTCTTAAAATACTTGAGATTTGTTCGTCGTTTATGCTATTCAATAAAAAAAAAATTAAATTTGTAATTTTTCAGTTTAAAACCCCAAATTGGCCTTGAAGAATCGGGGGCATTAATGATTGTCTTGAAATAAAGTTAAAATCCTAAAAATGCATAAAATATCAAGTATTATTTATCATTTCTGGTTAATGAATAAAAATGAATTCTTGACTCGAAAGTGTACAAAAATATGGACAATCGTATTAGCAAATTGAGTTTCCTCAAGTACTTGGGGGTAAAAACAGATTGTCTTTTCCTGTGTGGTGATGGGGTTGTGAGGAGGAGGGGTCTGGGCAGGCAGGTGTTGTTGGGTGACTAAGTAAGGAGGACAACACAGGGGAGACTCTTGAACGGGGGTAAACTGGTTATATCCTGGGTTTAAAACTATTGTACGGCGTGGAAGCGAGGCGGTGTATGAACAGCGATAGGCTAAACAGACGGGTGGTTAGGTGATTGGGGCCCCTCACTTACCAATGCACTTTTCTTGACCTTTAAACTCATTCAGCAATACACTTGTCAAGACCCTCAATCTCACTCAGCAATAAAATTGTTAAGACCCTTCATCTCACTCAGCATTACACTTGTCAAGACTCTTAATCTCACTCAGCAATACAATTGTTAGGACCCTTAATCTCACTCAGCAATATAATTGTCTAGACCCTTAATTAAATATAGACTACACCCATAGGGACCTTAACTATAATTGAATTCCTGTCTGTCTCTAGGTTTTCTGTACTTAACACTGACACACACACACAGGTTCCCTCAACTCACTTATCTGGTGGATCTTCAGTCACTCGCTTTATACCAACTACTTTACAATTAATTTCTTACAGTGTACAGTATATTAACATTACTTTATATTTAGGTCTAGTCTGTTTTAAGGTCTCAAGACGTCCCCATAATAACTCACAGAAATAATTTTTTTTAAAGCATACAGCAATAGAGTTTATGGGTCTTATTTTCCCCCCAATCATTACCAACAAAAGCTGGAAAATCAGGGAAAAATTAAAACCCCACGGGTCCTTCTAAACAAAAACACTGATAACTTGAAGAAAAATCCCCTAAAACCCAACCACCACTTAAAACAAAAATTAAAATAAAATACAACAAAGCCAAGCTCATCTCTCATATGTGTTTGGGAGACGTTACACTGGAGCAACGACCATTATCAGTAGTAGTAGTAGTAGTAGCAACAAGCAGGGGTTAAAAAGTTGGGTATTCGTGACTTAATTTACTATTATATGGGGAAAAAAAACAGAGGTGGTAGGGAAGAGAGGACCTGTTTGTGGTCCTTGTCCCTATTACAGTGAACTACTCAGCGGCTCACACTCGAGAGGATACAGGTTAAAAAAAAGGTAAAAAACAGATAAAATAATTAACATAGATGGCAGAAAATTCGATACAATAAGAGATAAAAGTTAAATTATATCCACAAGGGAGATAAACAACGATAAAAGTAAAGACACAACTACTGCTGGACTGCCATTGGTTGACTGAAAAAAAAAAACCAGAGAGGCTCTTGGCTATTGGTCAACACGGAGCAGTGATCACTCCTTCCAGCCAATGATATTAAAGCCTGTGTGAGGGAAGGGAGGAGGAGTTAAGACGAGCCGGTATATTATGTTTCAAACCAACCAAATACAAGGTTATATAACATAGGATATATAGTATAGCGCTGCTTCCATAAATGAGATCATAATATAGTGTTTGTATTATAACATCGTTGGGTAGGAGATAAGAGATAGAAATTATGTATACAAAAAATACTAACCAGCAACACACACACACTATCACTGTAACCAATCAAATCCAACCTTACAATCTTAATAAAGAGTTCTGATTGGATTTTAAAGTTTGGTTCATCAAGTTTATCTCTATCTATCTCTCTTTCTCTTAACTCCTTCTGGCGGTCATGTCTCTTGAAAAACCCTCATGCTATCTCTCTATAATTGTTTCTGGAAGAGGGGGGGAGGGGAGGGGTAACTTTCCTAAGGTCTTCTATCTCTCTCTCTCTATCTTTCTTAACACCTTCTGGGGTGGTGGGGGAGGGGGGGGGGATCAGGTCTCCTTAAAAGAACACACACACAAAAAAAACATCTATTATCTCTCGAACTTCTCGTCAACTTTCCCTCGGTAAACAACTTGTACAGGAAGACAAGCTGAGCAGACACTACCATCAACACACTGACGTAAGCTGGCTCAAGGGAGGGAGGCTGTAGTGGGCCGTGAGGGATGGGCCGTGAGCAAACTGTTTTAAAATAAATGTGTGAGGGTAAGAGAAGCCACAGCCGCAGCCAGTAGGGACCACAGCCGCAGCCAGTAGGGACCACAGCTAGTAGGGACCACAACCACAGCTAGTAGGGACCACAGAGCATGAGGCCGTCCACAGCTTGGTTCTCGTAAGTCCATGTTGTCTGCTGCGGCTTGGACTCGCCCTCACTCAACGAACACCTCTTAAACACAGAGCCCACACATCACGCCCCGAATATTAACAATAAATAAAAGAAAAAAGGTAAGGTATCATAAATAGTTACAAAATTTTGTACTGTTAATGTTACAAATTATCTTTGCTCAGGAGCACTTGGCTGAGAGGAAAACATATATTAATAACAGTTGGATGTTCCGAGTTTTGAGATCTGACAAATGGTAATCTCTGACAGGGAGACAAGTGCGGGGACCACTACACAAACTGAGCCTCTGAAGGTACACACTTTTCTGCGTGCTCGGGTTTGTTGCAGCTTCTTTGGGCAGTATCCAATAACGATCTTTGGATCATGGTAAAAAGTTTGTAAAGAGGGGCCGCCCGGGTGAGTCTCAGAGTCACAGCGACAATCCAGCCGCCTGGGAGACCTCGCCACCTTAGGCACCACACACACACACATAAAAAAACGAAAAAAAAAACTGAATATGAAATAAATACAATAAGTATTTACATAAAAAACTTAAACAATGTTTCATACAGTGAGATCATGGAGTTTTGTGGATGTCCCGAAGGCTGTGGTGCTGGAGGGTGAGGGGGACGGGTGAGTGGATGAACCAACAAGTAAGTAGACGGATGGGTGCACGTCCAAGCATCACACAGACAATTATACACAAAATCACTTGAGTGTTATTCCCAGTCTGTTCTGTTGGTCTTAAGTGCCACAAGCATCCACTCTTTTGTTTTCTTTTCATTGCCAACACATCCTCAACACCTAGTCCTTGACGCCCTCACAGCCTCGGCAGCTTTGGGGAAGAAAAAAGCTTTGAGATCTTTTTCAACGCCATATTTCAGTCGACACACACACACAAGTACACAGCTTCGAACCCCCCCCCCTTCAATAGATGTCTCCTCCGCCTCTCTATCTCTCTTGCGGGACTGAGAGACATTCCTGGATAGTCTTCACGGCTTCACGCTCTGAGATTAAAGCCAAGTGGTGGGAGCGTGAAGAGCATCCCTGGAGACTACCCACACCTGCAGGAGTGTTGGAGGCCGTCCCTGGAGACTAGCCACACCTGCAGAAGCTTGGAGGCCGTCCCTGGAGACTAGCCACACCTGCATTAGCTTGGAGGCCGTCCCTGGAGACTAGCCACACCTGCAGAAGCTTGGAGGCCGTCCCTGGAGACTAGCCACACCTGCATTAGCTTGGAGGCCGTCCCTGGAGACTAGCCACACCTGCAGAAGCTTGGAGGCCGTCCACGGAGACTAGTCACCCCTGCAGAAGCTTGAGGCCCGTCCCTGGAGACTAGCCACACCTGCAGAAGCTTGGAGGCCGTCCCTGAGACTAGTCACTTAGAAGCTTGAAGGCCGTCCTGGAGACTAGCCACACCTGCAGAAGCTTGGAGGCCGTCCTTGGAGACTAGCCACCCCTGCAGAAGAAGTTTGTGGAACATGGTGATGGATGGCGGAGAGGGAGAGGGGGGAATGAACGTCTGACGGTGAGCATGTGTTAGGAGGATGTAGTCTTGGGCCGTTTCACCAGGGCTGGCAGTTCAGCTTCCTCCTCTAGCTTGGTGTTCGCCGGGCGCTTCGACTTCCGGATCCTCATAAACGCTGCAAAAGAGAGAGAGAAAAAAAACATCAATAAAATTAGGTCATAAAAACATTGAGAATATTTATATAAACATTCACCGTGTTCAGATATCCGTGAAAGCTGTGGGACTAAACATATCATAAATTCTGTAGTAAAACATTCATCCTAAATTTTAATATAAACACTAAAACGGTATAAAACATGGGAGGAGGGAAGAGGAGTGATCTGAGGTCCTCCCCCTCCTCCCGACGTCCCCCTCCTCTTTCCTCCCTTCCCCCTCCTCCCGACGTCCCCTTCCTCTTTCCTCCCTTCCCCCTCCTCCCGCCGTCCCTATACCGACCCCCCCCCTTCCTCAACACCTGATGTAACAGCTGCTGTGAGGGGTATGTTAGTGCCACGCCTCCACGCCCTCGTGCCCTCATAATACCACGCCCTCACGCTCCTATACCCCAGCTAAGTCACTGCTACACGCCGGACTGGTGTGGTCGTGCTACCGCCAAACTGGTGTGGTCGTGCTACCGCCGGACTGGTGTGGTCGTGCTACCGCCGGACTGGTGTGGTCGTGCTACCGCCGGACTGGTGTGGTCGTGCTACCGCCGGACTGGTGTGGTCGTGCTACCGCCGGACTGGTGTGGTCGTGCCACCGCCGGACTGGTCAACAACAACAACATGGTCTTCACGCCCAGCAGTCAAACTGTGGCAGCAATCAGTAATATCAACCCGTCATAAAAGACTCCAGTTTTATACGAATTTTGTGGCCTTGGTACATACAAGTCCCCAAGTCCGTCAAACTTGAGGCCAAAAGGACATATTCCAAACACAAAAGCCAAGTTTCAAAGGCGCCATCTGCCTGGCATCGCCACTAACCCGTACGTCGGAGCAACAAGGACACCAACCTTGCGGTGGCAGCGTTACTCGTTGTGTCCCTCCTAGACGGACACGCCCCGGCGGTCAGGGCAAGAGGGTAACACACGCGACGGCAGCGGGCTGTCTCATGTGCCCCTCTACCCCGGAAACACTTACACCGGCCAGATTGCAACTCGCAGAAGCAGGTGCAGCAATGTTCCTGAGTTGGTCTGCACCACTACCCTACACCACCGGTGGCCTGCACCACCCTACACCACTGGTGGCCTGCACCACCACCAACCTACAACACCGGTGGCCTGCACCACCACCAACCGCCCTACAGCCTACAACACCTGTGGCCTGCACCACCACCACCTTACAACACCTGTGGCCTGCACCACCACCACCTTACAACACCTACGGCCTGCACCACCCTACAACACCTGTGGACTGCACCACCACCACCCTACAACACTGAAATAGTGCTGGCGTGTTGGCTTGGGACGCAACAGAGTAACCCCACAACACCAGTGTTGGAGGCCTTGATCACCAACAGTTGCATCTCCTGCACTAAAGACCGACAACACAACACTACACTGAGGTCCTCCTCCACCAAGACAACTTCACCTGGCGATAGAGTGTAGCCAAGTGGATCAGACCCCGACATACAGACCCCAGAACACCAACCGTCACACTGAGCCCCGTATGCGTGTCCAGCACCTTACCTTACGACCCCAGACAAACCAGTAGCCAGTCAGGTCCCTCTGACACATTATATATACCACACCTTTAATAAAAACCACCACACGCACAACCCAAGAACCCAAACCTTGATCTTGAAGGTATAAAAAGCGGGGTCCCGCAGCCAGTAATTACGAGCGGGCGCGGCCGGGTACACAGCCTCGCCAACGCCTGTATCTCAGTGGTCGCCCTGGGGCCCTCCGCCTCACACCGGGGGCACGCCGGGGCAAAGGGGCATCTCGAGAGGGCACAGGTAGCCCGGGAGAGGTCACCACGGGGTCAGGAGGCTTGCAGGCGTCATTACTACCCTCCAGGGAGCTCAGTGGCCAGATAGCGTCAACTTCGCCTCACAGAGACGCGTCACGAGAGAGCGAGGAGGAAGATCCTGCCCGAGTGAACAGCCACACACGTCCTCAAGTGGCCGCCGGGACGGGACGCCTTGGAAGATTTCTTGAGAAAACGGAGAATCCGGGCAGCGGCGGAGGAGAAACAAGGAGGGATAATTGTGGGGTGCCAGGACGCCCTCAGCCTACGGACCTTCCCAGAAAGGGGAAAAGAAAGAACACTGCATAAATCTCAACTTATGGGCTGAGAGCCAGCCCCTACACCACCACTGTGTTGCCCAGGTGCACTTTGCCACTACACTATAGGCTGGTTGCTGCTCATAATACAGCTCCTTGTATGTCGTGTGAGAGAGTTGTATCCACATAAACACGTACGTCGTATTGTGTGTGTGTGTGTGTGTGTGTGTGTGTGTGTGTGTGTGTACGTCCGTGTGTACGTCCGTGCGTGAGGCGACCCCTGACCTCTGACCCAAGATACTGTGATTAACCACTACGATTACCAAGACCCTGGTCCTGGTGAGGGCTGCGGGGGTGTATCCTGACCCTCAGGGCTCAGGCCACTTCACTTGCCCCAACCATCAAAAGGCTCAAAGTGAGTCACCAGAACACCCTCTTCTACCATTCACTGGTCTGGTTGCCAAGGTGCTAGAGACAGCGGTTAAGAAAAGACAAATGGAGATGAAAAACAGAGGAAGACTCTTATTTACAGACACAAAAACCTTATACCTTATAAGGCATATATCCTCCCTTCATACCTATATGGTGAGACTTCTATATAATCTATACTACTACTGGGAGAATCCTGCATCACAACACCCAACAGAGGTAGCCAGCCGCGACACCTTAATTCGTGATAACAGAAGCCCGTGGGAGCAGCCAAGTGCACCACCATTACACCTATTACCTCTTATTAACCGTCAGTTGGGATGTTTCACCATTGACGATACATTTTCCACCTGATTGCACCGGTAATTGTACAGGAACCCTACCCCTCACCTCGTCCGGGAAGGATTGATGATGTTTGAAGGAGGGAAGGGTTGGAAGTTGTTTGAAGGAGGGGGGTTGGAGGTGTTTGGAGGAGGGGGGTAAGTGTTTGGAGGAGGGGGTATGAGGTGTTTGAAGGAGGGGGGTAGGAGGTGTTTGAAGGAGGAAGGAGGGTAGGAGGTGTTTGGAGAAGGAGGGTAGGAGATCTTTGTTATTTACCTATACAACACCCCCCCCAACGATCACCTGAAGATTAACACCCTAATACTACCTGTAGGGTTAGATTAGGTTAGGTTAGGTTAGGTTAGGGTTAGGTTAGATTAGGTTAGGGTGTTATAATCTACAGGTGATAAAACTCCCCTAAACACCTACTAATTTAAGGTCCTTTAAAATAACACGGGTTTACCTGTACACCTTAGGGGATAACTGTGGTAAAGAAAGATAATCTGAGGTGTTAAATGATATCCAGTTCTCTCTATCTCTCTCCTTCTCTATCTCACTCTCTTTTTCTCTCTGAGCGAGTAGGAGGTGGGGAGGTGGGGGAGGGTGTTGTTAACAACCCCTTCGCAATTCTACCTTGACAGCGGAAAAGGGCAATGAGATGGCCTCTCTCTCTCTCTCTCTCTCTCTCTCTCTCTCTCTCCTCTCTGCCTTTCTCTCTCGCTCTCTCTCTCTCTCTCACCCTCTCTCTGCCTTTCTCACTCTATCTCTCTCACTCTCTCTCGATTAACCCGCATCACTGACGTCTATTAAACTGTGTAATAACGACCAGATTAGATTAAATTAGGTCACAGTATAGGGCCAATCTCAGGTCTCCTCCCAGAACCTTTCAGGGCCACAAAAAAAGCTGGCAATTACGTTGACAGCTTCTCGGGGTCACCTGTATAGATTACCCGGTACAGTTTAGTTCACCTGTTAATTAACCTAACCTAACGCTACCTGGAGGGGGTTAGCTTAGGTTGAATTAGGTTAGATTAGGTTGGCGTTAGGCTAGAGGTTTCTTCACATGGTGTTAGGTTAAGTAAGCTGGGGCTAGTCTTCAAGCTAAGTTAGGTTAAGTTAAGTAAGCTGGGGCTAATCTTCAAGCTAAGTTAGGTTAAGTAAGCTGGGGCTAATCTCCAAGCTAAGTCAGGTTAGGTTAAGTAAGCTGGGGCTAATCTCCAAGTTAAGTTAGGTTAGGTTAAGTAAGCTGGGGCTAAGTTAAGTAAGCTGGGTTAAGTTAAGTAAGCTGGGGCTAATCTCCAAGCTAAGTTAGGTTAGGTTAAGTAAGCTGGGGCTAATCTCCAAGCCAAGTTAGGTTAGGTTAAGTAAGCTGGGGCTAATCTCCAAGCTAAGTTAGGTTAGGTTAAGTAAGCTGGGGCTAATCTCCAAGCTAAGTTAGGTTAGGTTAATCTCAAGGTGAAATAAACTTAGTGGGGTGTTTAATCTTCAGGTGATCATCATCTCGCCCTCCTTACTATCAAATTACTGGCTGGTTTACGTCCTGTGGGTCTTGAGGCTACACCTAACAAGGCCACCCACTGCTCCACCACAATCAGTGAAGAAATTTGGTTTTAGGAAGAAATTTGGTTTTGGGGAATAAATTTGTTTTTTGGGGAATAAATTTGGTTTTAGGAATAAATTTGGTTTTGGGGAATAAATTTGGTTTTGGGGGAATAAATTTGGTTTTAGGAATAAATTTGGTTTTTGGGGAATAAATTTGGTTTTAGGGAATAAATTTGGTTTTCGGGGAATAAATTTGGTTTTGGGGGAATAAATTTGTTTTGGGGAAATAAATTTGGCTTTCTAATTAGTGAATACAATTTGAGAATAATTTTGCTTTGATTGCTACACCTAACCTAACCAATACACCCTGACTTAACCTAACCAACCTAACCTAACCAACCTAACCTAACCTCAAGCACGACCCTTTTTTTTCCTATGAACTTCTAGTCACTATCAGGTCGTTATGACAACCGTGTGACGTATGGGTGAGGGGTGAGGGTTGAGGGTGAGGGGTGACTGATCGCTTCCTTTCTGTAAACAGGTTTTATATTGAGGAAGATGTTTAGTGTTATTTGACGTCTTATATATCTTGGGTAACTAGGTCTCTCTCTCTCTCTCTC